CAAAAAAAGCTTTAAGTCTAACAAACAATGAGCTGAACGGGAGAACCGCTCCGGGAGTGACGTCTAATACACAACGTTTTCAGACCCTCTTTCTCTATCTCCGCAGATGTATAGCCAGTGCTCTCTCTCTCATTCGCTCTCTTCTGTGTCTAACTCTCATATATTGAGGAAATTTAGGTCAAGGATGAGGACTAAGAATAATGGATGAGAGGAATGGATGCTATATGGGAGAGAATTTCTATTTTCGGAATATTATATTTGTGTTCAAATATTTGATTTGAGAGTCAATTTAATTAATTTTTTTATTACATCTAAACGTAAACTAATTAATAATATATTTTTAAGCAATTATTGCTTATAAAACAATTATTGTCATTGATTTAAAGCACGTTTATAAATTTGATATATACATAATAAAAAGTAATTACACATTAAAAATGTATATTTTATTATTAATTCCTAATATTAATAATAACTAAACACTTACCGTATTTACAAAGACCAAAATTTTTATAATGCTTTAACGTTTATAGTTTAACGGTTAAACTTTAACCATTACTTCAGTCACAGACCTCTTATATCAACAGAATATTTAAAATTTAAAGTTTCATAAAAGGATAATAAATTTAACACTAAATTACTATTAATTATACAATATATTTATTTAGAAAATTATACAACACTTTATCGATTTATAAGAAAATTTAAATATTCTCTATATTTACAAAATAAAGACATTGTTTTAAATAAACATTTCATTTAGTCCTGAATTCTTAAATACAATATTCTTTAAATATACCGTAATTCGTAAAAGTAATCGCTTATTATCTGATATATATCTCTTAGAATTCTGTTTTACAAAAACATTTCCTAATTTCAAATACAAATCAATTATTTGTAAATTTACAAAAAGTCAATGTTTAACAAAACAGTGTTATTTTGTTAACAAATTAGTGATCATTAGTGCAAAAAACAGACAGTAATTATAATTAATTATTAAAAAATCTAAATTTTAAAATTCGAGTTTTCAATCAATCACTTGTGTAAACATTTTTTGATTTTTTAAACATTGAATTCACAGAGAGATTGAGGAACTATTTTCATACCATTTCCCCACAAATATGAATTGAATTCACGAAATATATAAATTTAAAGGAAAAATAAAATATCAATTTAAAGGTAATTATAATTTGTAGGCAATTATAACAGTAAATAAAAAATTGTCAATTCATTTTTAACATGAATTAACTCATAAATGCTTTTGTTTTAAATCTATGTTGTTTTGTGCTAATGATTAGCCATTAAAACATCAAAAAATTAAACTAAATTCAGTCATTAAAAACAGTTCTTCAAAACTATTAAAGACTATGAAAATACTTTTTCAATGATGTCATTACAAAATTAAGATACAAATTAAGTTTTCATTTACGTTAGTAAATGGAAAAAGATATCGATATTTGACAAATAAAATGTGAAAATAAAACTCAAAAATAAGTGAAAACAACAATTTAAGTCATTGACTAGTGATATACAGCTCTTAATTGCCGTTTAAATAAAAGCATTTGTTTAGTAATTAAATATATATTTGTATATTGTCTCAAGAATTCAATACTTATATCACTGTTTGATTTGTGTTAATAAAAGCAACAATTACTGGAACTGTTCGGAGGAGATGTACGGGAGTTGCGATTATTGTTAGTTTCGGGGGAACTAATGTTAATACCGTTGGCAGTGATAGTACCGCCCTTTTTGACGCCATCCCAGCCGTCTTCGATCTCAAACTCTCCGCTCTCGACCCTATCGTAGATGTCTTCGGCAATGGATCGGAACGTTTCGTCCACATTATACCGGTTTTTGGCCGAAGTCTCGATGAAATTGATGCGATAGAAGTCGGCAAACGCTTTGCCCTCTTCGGAGGTCACTTCCCGTTCGTCGGCCATATCTGACTTACACGACACGATCTGATACACCGCCCGATTGGACTCGATATGCCTCCGGGCCTCAAACAGCCAGTCGACCAAATGGTCAAACGTGTGCCGACGGGTCATGTCGTACAGCAGGAGAGCGCCCACACTATTCCGATAGTATGACCGCGTTATCGATCTAAGAGTCAAACCCAATGGTTAATGATATGTCTTATTGTCCACTCAATAGACACAGGGATGTGATGGCAATACAATACCTAAACTTTTCCTGTCCAGCGGTGTCCCAGAGCTGTAATTTAATCCTAAGCTTTCCGTTACGTATTGTAATGATTTTGGCGAAGAAGTCGACGCCAACTGTTGGATCACTCCATGTCGTGAACTGGCATTCAGTGAACGCCCGAAGAAGAGTTGATTTGCCAACTGTTGAGTCGCCGATCAGTATTAGACTAACATATCGTTCAATCAAAACAATTCATGTTATAATTGGTATACAATTTGAATCAATACTTCAGACAAAACCATTTAATCGCTAAATGTTTTAAATGGACTATAAATGGGGGGTTCGGGAGGGGGTCTGGCATTGGGGTCAACGGGTGGTCGCCTATTGGGCACAGTTTGACAGCAAATCAATGGTTTGTATGTCTTATATATTGATTGATAATCATTAAAGATATGAAATCAATATATGTTTAAAATGTAATTAAAAGTCAATTAATTACCGAAACTGATAATCAAAGGGCGCCTCAAAAACCATAGCCTTTTTGGGTTTGGATTTTCAATCAAACACTTTATGAAAATATATTAACAATTAATTTCAAAAACAATATTTAGTGTCAAAAATGAGATCCAAAACAATGTCTTCGCATCTGAAGTGAGATCTAAAACAATGGTTTGATTGTAAGTGTAATTAACAATACGTTTATTAATGCGTTTAAAACGACATTCAAAAGCAAAACACAAACATTAAAATCGAGGGATTTTTTTCACACCAAATGTTTTACATATTTATGTTTTGATTGCATTTTTAGCACTCATTTCCTCATTTCATAACCATTTCGTGCCATAAATAATGTCTCGAACTCTCGCTTTCAATGCGAAAGTGTATCAAAAAATATACACTTTTTTCCATTTAAAAAACCCTTTGGTTTCGCAGAAAAGTCTGAACACAAGTGACAGTCATATGATTTGGTGTTTGCTTTACAGCTGTTTTGACATTACCTTTAAATACAATCAAATACTTATGTAATATTGTATTAATTGCTATAATATTCCTGTCATTCATTGTTTGACTCGTTTTTGTCGATTCATTATTTTTTTAGTAACTTTTCCTCATAAATGAAATCACAATATATTTATCATTTATTCAATGATTTATGATTTGTTGTGAAAATAGATCTGAAAATTGCTGAACTTTGATGTAATTCATACTTAATTATCAGTCATAGAGATATTAATGGTGTAAATAGTTATCATTTTAGTTTATAAAGTAGTTATCGATTGCTGTCTTGTGTTCACTAAAAATAAAATGTTTTTAAAAATATAAATACATATCCAATGATTGAGTGGATTGTCGTTTGAATTTATAATAACATTAGTTAACTGTATATTCAAAATATTTTTAATGTAAGACTTAATGTACATAAGAATCTAATGGATTGGTAGTGAAAAGGAAAGCATCATGCTCAATTATTACATGAATTATCATGAGGTGACACATTGGATGCTAAATGTGTTGGACTATAGTCTGCATTAAGAGATCAAATAATATATGGACACAACAGAGACTCGCATCACATGAACGCCTCAATTATGATTAGATATGAAACTCAAGACTTTCTTTCAATAACTTATGTATAAATTCTTATGAAAGACTAATCTCTATAGGAATTAGTATACTGTATGTCGTGTGATATACACGTTATGCGCTTAATATTAACTTTCAACGAGTTTAATATTTATATATTCTTCATATTAGCACTTAATTTGAATCAAAACTTAATTACATTATTAACAGTTCGGCAGTGTTTAGAGACTTAATACAGTAAAAGCCTACACTTAAATAAAAAACAAATTTTATATTATATTATATATTAATATGTATTATATATTTCGTGATTTTGTGTTAAAAGTTTTATTATAAGAATTTTTGAGAATATCGCAAGAATTCAATACAAATATATTACATAAGTGTATAAGAATTGAATTGCATTTTTCTATTTAAAAAGCACTTGTATTGAATGTAATGTTAAAATTCAATTTATATTTGATTTGATATTTACTTTGAATCTGGGATTTCGTATTGACTTAACGCTAAAAAACAACTAAAAAACGCCTAAATTGTGAAAGAGATTGAATATAAGTATTTCAAACATTTATTGAACACTAAATGAATTCCTGTTTCAAGAATTCTTCACTTATTGTGTTCTCGTCGTTACGTAACGGAAATTAATTTCAAAAATGAGACAAATGTTGCTTTTCATTGAAAATATACGTCAATTCTAGACAATTCCACTGTATTTTATGCAACAATTTAACGTTAATTAATATAATTAATTTTGTGCAACTTAACAGTTACAATGTTTAATTTTTGCTTAATATTATATCAATAAAATATTTTATAAATGATATATTTACCTAAAAAACAAATGAATCCAATGATTTGCCAGTGAAATAACAAATTGGTAAAAAAATATTAAACACTAAAGCACTCAAACATGAAATTATAACAAGTGTTTACTTCAAACCAGAAGTGGTTTAATTAGTGAACAATATTTTGTGACACATTCTGTGTCTCTCTAAATGACACCAAATAACGGGACATAACTTTCTAATCAATTCTTATATCAATACATATCTCTCACATGAGATCTTTTGTTTGATCAAAAGTCTAATAGATATGTGTAAATCAAATATCAATTCAATTGCAATAAACAATAAATTATTGTTTAAATAAATATTTTTGCCGAATATTAAGTATAACTTTAATCAATTATAAATACAAGTACTCTATTTATTAGTTTGCATTATAAGTATGCATTAGATTGTTTCAAACAAACATTTTAAAGCATATGATTTTAAAACAAATAGTTAACATAATTAATGCTAATTAATTTAATTTATGGACATATAACATTTTTAAAGTATTTTATTTACAACTTACAATTAGTTACGTAGCACGTGTTTTGCTTTACATTATTATGGTAATGCTTAATTATTATAAAACACGTTTTGTGAATAAATAAGAGTTAATTATTTTACTCATGTTATCGTAAGAATTTACACATATTTTGGTATGATTTCATTGTATAGTATCGGAAATATGGTATTGTTTTGTTAATTCAATTCCAGCCGTTGTTTGGGTATTAAGTAATAATAATATATTCACATAAGTATTATGTAATTAAATTAAATATTGCATAAATCGATGAATAGTGTATTAATTAAATTATTGAAGAGAATTATGTCATATCATAATACAAAATACTACAAATGCTTGCATTTTCGTACAAATAATATTTTATAACACATCAATAAATAATACATTTTCAATACAATTAATTTCTTATTCAAAGACAAAAGAGACAAATCATAATAAATTGTGTGATTTATATTGATGGTAATACGTATACAGATACTATGTTTAATATGGATATTCTATATTTTATATTGCACACATGATTAATAAAATACATTTGTGTATATTTAAATGAATGTTTTATACAATTATAATCAAATTTTAAAATATTCTGTAACAATAAAACATAAAAAACTTTAATTAAACATAATTTAAACACTTATTACAATTTTCAAACAAATCAAATGTTATAAAAGTGATTGCAAGGCATTAACTCTTTGACCTTTAAATAATAATCCGGAAAGTTTTGTGCAAAAATGATTTCTATAGGTTTTGGTTGGGATTTTGAAATTAATTAGTTTCGTTAAAAAATACAACAATACAAATGTATCATCATTTTGTGTAAATCCCTTAATAAGAAATACTAATTACTACTATCTCTAATCATTCACAATGTACCGTATTTGTTTTTATTTAAGCCATGTTCAATTCTTTGATAATTGCACATTTTGTCTGGATTCTAGATTTTAAATTGTTTTAATGAAGTACCGGTATTAATTTTGTAGTAATTAAATTTTGAATAAAAGTTTTTAAACAAGAATATTGATGCTCATTAAATATTATATGCAAAACGAAAATGTATAAGTTTGCAAATAAATTACACAAAAAGGAGACCATCAAAAATCCCCTTAAAAAGGACACAAAAGGACGCAAAAATTATTATTCTTATGCATTTTTCTCTGTTTGTCTCACATTTTAAATAAGTATTTAATTGAAAACACTTTTACCAAACAAAATAAATGACATACTTTAAGTTAAAGGGGTTGAAAAATACTTATTTAATTTTTATTATAGTTTTCTATTAGAAATTTTTACAATTTTACAATGTAGATTTGTAATTTATTATTAGTATATAATGTTTGTGTGCTTTAATGTCAAAATTCTAGAGCTAAATATTGCTCTAGTTTCAAAGCAATCACGAAATTTTCTATATTTTTAAAAATATTAATTTCTTTATATTAATCTTTATAAAACTCATAAAAGAACAAAGTATAGTCTTTTCTGACTACTCGAAAAGACTGTTTTTAGAAGTAAAAAAAGATAAAATCTATAAAAGGAGATTCTGGTCACCCTACACACAAAATAAATATTTCTGATAATGAGCTCATTCAAAATTATATGTTTTACAAGTTTTGCAATAACAACAGTCCACTTCAGTATATCAAATCTATGGGACATTTATATTCATTATATTATCTCATTAACGAGTTAAAGTTACATTATAATTATATACATAAATTTCCATACATTTGCACAATTGTCTAAAAAACTTAAAATAATACTTCCCTAACGAGGGATTAATTATTAACAATAAAAAATTCTAAATATTGTTGAATGCACAAATGTATTAAACTATTTAAAAAACTACAAAAAATGAAGAGATTTATAGAATAGTAAAATGCAGTGCTTTTTATGAAAATCAAACATGCATATAATCCTATTTTGCCATTATTTGCAATTATGCCAATTAAATACTCGCATTAAATCATAATTTTGTTTATAACTCAACGATAATTACAAAATCATATAACAGCATGTGTAATAATTGGATATTAAATTAGCCAGTAATTGAATATTTATTTTAATATTTATAATTTATAAAACTATATTATATATTGTTTACAATTTTATTCATAAATATATTATATAATAAATAAAATAAGTTATTATAGTTTAAATAATTATTTGTGAAATATACTGAATGTATAACATTAGAGATGATATTTAAAAATAACTAAATTTTCACTATCACTGGAACAGATCCATTAAATATTTCAGATAAAATATACCGCTTTAAGCTATAATATATTTTATTTCGCAATTTTCACAATTGTATGCCATTATTAATGCAGAGCATTGTTAGAGCATTCGTACAGTATATATAAATTGTGAAGATTATAAAAATTGATATATTTAGCACTAAAAATGTAATTTAGATTTTTAAATACAAGTTAAACTGATTTAAAGCAATTTATTTCATATGATTAAATAAAATGTTATATAAAAAACACTTCATTTGATTGGAAAAAAATCCCAAAAGTTTAATGAAGATACGTTTTTGGGAGCTTTATTTGTTACCATCTCTAAAGTGCATTAAATCAAGTTTTCTTTTGAGGGTTATTTATCCGTTTAATCGACTTTATAACAGAAGTTTGTTTTATTATTTATATCTATTGTATGATTCAATTCAATAAATGACTTTTTGGTAGAGTTTTCCATATATTTTATGAAATATTCTATATATTATAAGTTAGAATAATTTGAGTATATTTTAACGTTTAATA